CTCATAGACTCAGCACTGAGACCCACAGACTCAGCACTGAGACCCACAGACTCATAGACTCAACACTGAGACCCACAGACTCAGCACTGAGACCCACAGACTCAGCACTGAGACCCACAGACTCATAGACTCAACACTGAGACCCACAGACTCAGCACTGAGACCCACAGACTCATAGACTCAGCATTGAGACCCACAGACTCAGCACTGAGACCCACAGACTCAGCACTGAGACCCACAGACTCATAGACTCAACACTGAGTCCCACAGACTCAGCACTGAGACCCACAGACTCATAGACTCAGCACTGAGACCCACAGACTCATAGACTCAGCACTGAGACCCACAGACTCATAGACTCAGCACTGAGACCCACAGACTCATAGACTCAGCACTGAGACCCACAGACTCATAGACTCAGCACTGAGACCCACAGACTCAGCACTGAGACCCACAGACTCATAGACTCAACACTGAGACCCACAGACTCAGCACTGAGACCCACAGACTCAGCACTGAGACCCACCGACTCATAGACTCAACACTGAGACCCACAGACTCAGCACTGAGACCCACAGACTCATAGACTCAGCATTGAGACCCACAGACTCAGCACTGAGACCCACAGACTCAGCACTGAGACCCACAGACTCATAGACTCAACACTGAGTCCCACAGACTCAGCACTGAGACCCACAGACTCATAGACTCAGCACTGAGACCCACAGACTCATAGACTCAGCACTGAGACCCACAGACTCATAGACTCAGCACTGAGACCCACAGACTCATAGACTCAGCACTGAGACCCACAGACTCATAGACTCAGCACTGAGACCCACAGACTCAGCACTGAGACCCACAGACTCATAGACTCAACACTGAGACCCACAGACTCAGCACTGAGACCCACAGACTCAGCACTGAGACCCACAGACTCATAGACTCAACACTGAGACCCACAGACTCAGCACTGAGACCCACAGACTCATAGACTCAGCATTGAGACCCACAGACTCAGCACTGAGACCCACAGACTCAGCACTGAGACCCACAGACTCATAGACTCAACACTGAGACCCACAGACTCAGCACTGAAACCCACAGACTCATAGACTCAGCACTGAGACCCACAGACTCATAGACTCAGCACTCAGACCCACAGACTCATAGACTCAACACTGAGACCCACAGACTCATAGACTCAGCACTGAGACCCACAGACTCATAGACTCAACTCTGAGACCCACAGACTCATAGACTCAGCACTGAGACCCACAGACTCATAGACTCAACACTGAGACCCACAGACTCATAGACTCAGCACTGAGACCCACAGACTCACAGACTCAGCACTGAGACCCACAGACTCTGCACTGTGACCCACAGACTCATAGACTCAGCACTGAGACCCACAGACTCATAGACTCAGCACTGAGACCCACAGACTCACAGACTCATAGACTCAACACTGCTACCCACAGACTCAGCGCTGAGACCCACAGACTCAGCACTCCTACCCACAGACTCAGCACTGAGAGCCACAGACTCAGCACTGAGACCCACAGACTCAGCACTGAGACCCACAGACTCAGCACTGAGACCCACAGACTCAGCACTGCCACCCATAGACTCAGCACTGCTACCCATAGACTCAGTGCTGAGACCCATAGACTCAACACTGTCACCCATAGACTCAGCACTGAGACCCACAGACTCAGCACTGCCACCCACAGACTCAGCACTGAGACCCACAGACTCAGCACTGAGACCTACAGACTCAGCACTGATACCCACAGACTCAGCAATGAGACCCACAGACTCAGCACTGTGACCCACAGACTCAGAGACTCAGCACTGAGACCCACAGACTCACAGACTCAGCACTGAGACCCACAGACTCAGCACTGAGACCCACAGACTCAGCACTGTGACCCACAGACTCAGAGACTCAGCACTGAGACCCACAGACTCACAGACTCAGCACTGAGACCCACAGACTCAGCACTGAGACTCACAGACTCAGCACTGAGACCCACAGACTCAGCACTGAGACCCACAGACTCATAGACTCAGCACTGAGACCCACAGACTCAGCACTGAGACCCACAGACTCATAGACTCAACACTGAGACCCACAGACTCAGCACTGAGACCCACAGACTCAGCACTGAGACCCACAGACTCATAGACTCAACACTGAGACCCACAGACTCAGCACTGAGACCCACAGACTCATAGACTCAGCATTGAGACCCACAGACTCAGCACTGAGACCCACAGACTCAGCACTGAGACCCACAGACTCATAGACTCAACACTGAGACCCACAGACTCAGCACTGAAACCCACAGACTCATAGACTCAGCACTGAGACCCACAGACTCATAGACTCAGCACTCAGACCCACAGACTCATAGACTCAACACTGAGACCCACAGACTCATAGACTCAGCACTGAGACCCACAGACTCATAGACTCAACTCTGAGACCCACAGACTCATAGACTCAGCACTGAGACCCACAGACTCATAGACTCAACACTGAGACCCACAGACTCATAGACTCAGCACTGAGACCCACAGACTCACAGACTCAGCACTGAGACCCACAGACTCTGCACTGTGACCCACAGACTCATAGACTCAGCACTGAGACCCACAGACTCATAGACTCAGCACTGAGACCCACAGACTCACAGACTCATAGACTCAACACTGCTACCCACAGACTCAGCGCTGAGACCCACAGACTCAGCACTCCTACCCACAGACTCAGCACTGAGAGCCACAGACTCAGCACTGAGACCCACAGACTCAGCACTGAGACCCACAGACTCAGCACTGAGACCCACAGACTCAGCACTGCCACCCATAGACTCAGCAGTGCTACCCATAGACTCAGTGCTGAGACCCATAGACTCAACACTGTCACCCATAGACTCAGCACTGAGACCCACAGACTCAGCACTGCCACCCACAGACTCAGCACTGAGACCCACAGACTCAGCACTGAGACCTACAGACTCAGCACTGATACCCACAGACTCAGCAATGAGACCCACAGACTCAGCACTGTGACCCACAGACTCAGAGACTCAGCACTGAGACCCACAGACTCACAGACTCAGCACTGAGACCCACAGACTCAGCACTGAGACCCACAGACTCAGCACTGTGACCCACAGACTCAGAGACTCAGCACTGAGACCCACAGACTCACAGACTCAGCACTGAGACCCACAGACTCAGCACTGAGACTCACAGACTCAGCACTGAGACCCACAGACTCAGCACTGAGACCCACAGACTCAGCACTGAGACCCACAGACTCAGCACTGAGACCCACAGACTCAGCATTGAGACCCACAGACTCAGCACTGAGACCCACAGACTCAGCTGTGAGACCCACAGACTCAGCACTGAGACCCACAGACTCAGCATTGAGACCCACAGACTCAGCACTGAGACCCACAGACTCAGCACTCTGACCCACAGACTCAGCAATGCTAGCCATAGACTCAGCACTGAGACCCACAGACTCAACACTGCCACCCATAGACTCAACGCTGAGACCGACAGACTCAAGACTGAGACCCACAGATGATGACCCCTTGTGGGGTTCACGATGACCCCGTGACGGGGTTCACAATGACCCCGTGTGTGGGTTCAAGATGACCGTGACGGGGTTCACGATGACCCCGTGTGTGGGTTCAAGATGACCCCTTGTGGGAGGTCACGATGACCCCTTGTGAGAGTTCACGATGACCCCGGATTTGGGTTCACGATGACCCCGTGTGTGGGTCACGATGACCCCTTGTGGGAGGTCACGATAACCCCTTGTGGGAGGTCACGATGACCCCTTGTGTGGGTTCACGATGACCCCGTTTGAGGGTTCACGTTGACCCCGTGTGTGGGTTCACGTTGACCCCGTGTGTGGGTTCACGTTGACCCCTTGTGGGTTCACGATGACCTCTTGTGGGGGTTCACGATGACCCCGTGACGGGGTTCACGATGACCCCGTGACGGGGTTCACGATGACCCCGTGTGTGGGTTCACGATGACCCCGTGACAGGGCTCAAGATGACCCTTGTGGGGTTCACGATGACCCCGTGTGTTGGAGGTCACGATGACCCCGTGTGGGGTTCACGATGACCCCGTGACGGGGTTCACGATGACCCCGTGTGTGGGTTCACGATGACCCCGTGTGTGGGTTCACGATGACCCCGTGTGTGGGTTCACGATGACCCCTTGTGGGAGGTCACGATGACCCCTTGTGGGGTTCACGATGACCCCTTGGGGGGGTCCACGATGACCTCTTGTTGGGGGTCACGATGACCCCTTGTGGGGGTTCACGATGACCGCGTGTGTGGAGTTCACGATGACCCCGTGTGTGGAGGTCACGATGACCCCGTGTGGGAGGTCACGATTACCCCGTGAGTGGGTTCACGATGACCCTGTGTGGGAGGTCACGACGACCCCGTGTGTGGGTTCACGATGACCCCGTGTGTGGGTTCACGATGACCCCTTGTGATGACCCCTTGTGTGGGTTCACGATGACCCCGTGTGTGGGAGGTCACGCTGACCCCACGTGGGAGGTCACGCTGACCCCTTGTGTGGGTTCACGATGACCCCTTGTGGGAGGTCACGATGACCCCGTGTGTGGGAGGTCACGATGACCCCGTGTGTGGGTTCACGATGACCCCTTGTGTGTGAGGGTTCACGATGACCCCGTGTGTGGGAGGTCACGATGACCCCTTGTGTGTGGGAGGTCACGCTGACCCCGTGTGTGGGAGGTCACGCTGACCCCGTGTGTGGGTTCACGATGACCCCTTGTTCGTGGGGTCACGATGACCCCTTGTGTGGGTTCACGATGACCCCGTGTGTGGGAGGTCACGATGACCCCTTGTGGGAGGTCACGCTGACCCCTTTGGGGAGGTCACGATGACCCCTTTGTGGAGGTCACGATGACCCCTTTCTGGGTGGGTCTCCCCGGCCAGGTGCTGTGCGCCTGCACCGTGCGGCCCCCCTACCCGGCGTTCGAGACCTTCGACCTCGACCTCGACCTCGACGCCGACCTCGACCTCGACCCCTCCATCGCCCTCAACACCATGGGCATGGTGCTGAGGGCGCCGCCCCCGCGCCGCCCGCCGCCGCCGCCGCACCTCCCGGCCACCGGCACCGGCGGCGACGGCGACGACGGAATCCTCCCTCGCGACGGTCGCCCCGGCGACGGTCGCCCCGGCGACGGTCGCCGGGGCGACGGTCGCCGTGGCGACGGTTGCCGTGGCGACGGCCGGGCCGGGCAACGCCCCCTGGGTTCGTCATCGTCTAGCCCCACCCACCCCATCGACTGGTACTCACGGACACTCTTCCCTGCCACATTCCTCCTCTTTAACGTCGTCTACTGGGTCTCCTACTGGGACTAGTGGGGGGGTGGTGGTGGTGGGGGGGTGGTGGTGGGGGGGTGGAGGGGGGGGTTGGTGGGGGGGTTGGTGGGGGGGTTGGTGGGGAGAGTCTAGCCCCACCCACCCCATCGACTGGTACTCACGGACACTCTTCCCTGCCACATTCCTCCTCTTCAACGTCGTCTACTGGGTCTCCTACTGGGACTAGTGGGGGGGTGGTGGTGGTGGGGGGGTGGTGGGGGGTGGGGGGGTTGGTGGGGGGGTTGGTGGGGGGGTTAGTGGGGGGAGTCTGGCCCCACCCACGCCATCGACTGGTACTCACGGACACTCTTCCCTGCCACATTCCTCCTCTTCAACGTCGTCTACTGGGTCTCCTACTGGGACTAGTGGGGGGGTGGTGGTGGGGGGGTGGTGGGCGGGTGGTGGTGGGGTTGGTGGGGGGATAGGAGGAGGGGCTGTGGGTGGGGGGGTGGGTGGGGGTGGGTGGGGGTGGTGATGGCGATGTTGGTAGTGATGGTAGTGATGGTATTGAAGGTGATGGTGGTGGTGATGATGGTGATGGTGGTGATGGTGGTGGTGATGGTGGTGATGGTGGTGATGGTGGTGATGGTGGTGGTGGTGATGGTGGTGGTGGTGGTGATGGTGATGATGGTGATGGTGATGATGATGATGGTGGTGATGGTGGAGGTGATGGTGATGGTGGTGATGGTGATGGTGGTGATGGTGATGATGGTGATGGTGGTGATGGTGATGGTGGTGATGGTGATGGTATTGATGGTGGTGATGATGATGGTGGTGATGGTGGTGATGGTATTGATGGTAGTGATGGTGGTGGTGGTGGTGATGGTGATGGTGGTGGTGGTGATGGTGATGGTGATGATGATGATGGTGGTGATGGTGGAGGTGATGGTGATGGTGGTGATGGTGATGGTGGTGATGGTGATGATGGTGGTGATGGTGATGGTGGTGATGGTGGTGGTGATGATGGTGATGGTGGTGATGGTGGTGGTGATGGTGGTGATGGTGGTGATGGTGGTGGTGGTGATGGTGGTGGTGGTGGTGATGGTGATGATGGTGATGGTGATGATGATGATGGTGGTGATGGTGGAGGTGATGGTGATGGTGGTGATGGTGATGGTGGTGATGGTGATGATGGTGATGGTGGTGATGGTGATGGTGGTGATGGTGATGGTATTGATGGTGGTGATGATGATGGTGGTGATGGTGGTGATGGTATTGATGGTAGTGATGGTGGTGGTGGTGATGGTGATGGTGGTGGTGGTGATGGTGATGATGGTGATGGTGATGATGGTGGTGATGGTGGAGGTGATGGTGATGGTGGTGATGGTGGTGGTGGTGATGGTGATGGTGATGATGGTGATGGTGGTGATGGTGATGGTGGTGATGGTGATGGTATTGATGGTGGTGATGATGATGGTGGTGATGGTGGTGATGGTATTGATGGTAGTGATGGTGGTGGTGGTGGTGATGGTGATGATGGTGATGGTGGTGATGGTGATGGTGGTGATGGTATTGATGGTGATGATGATGATGGTGGTGATGGTGGTGATGGTGGTGGTGGTGATGGTGGTGATGGTGATGGTGGTGATGGTGGTGATGGTATTGATGGTGATGATGATGATGGTGGTGATGGTGGTGATGGTATTGATGGTAGTGATGGTGGTGGTGGTGATGATGGTGATGGTGGTGATGATGGTGATGGTGGTGATGGTGATGGTGGTGATGGTATTGATGGTGGTGATGATGGTGGTGATGGTGGTGATGGTATTGATGGTAGTGATGGTGGTGGTGGTGATGGTGATGATGGTGATGGTGGTGATGGTGATGATGGTGATGGTGGTGATGGTGATGATGGTGATGGTGGTGATGGTGATGATGGTGATGGTGGTGGTGATGGTAGTGATGGTATTGATGGTGGTGATGATGATGATGATGGTGGTGATGGTGGTGATGGTATTGATGGTGATGGTTTTGATGGTGGTATTGATGGCATTGGTGAATAGTTGTGATGGTATTGATGGTGGTGATGGTATTGATGGTCTTGGTGATGGTATTGATCGTGATGATGGTGATGGTCGTGATGGTATTGGTGATGGTATTGATAGTGATTATGATTTTGATGGTGCTGATGGTATTGATTGTGGTGATGATATTGATGGTCTTGGTGATGGTATTGATCGTGATAATGGTGATGGTGGTGATGATGGTGATGGTATTGGTGATGGTATTTATTTGTAACTTTGATCATAATCGATAGTTAAACGTTCAATGTTGCTTCCTAGAGAGTGACTACTCATAGCTACTACTACTACTGCTGTTGTGTGTCACGTAGTGACTAGTACTGACTTCTACACAGTGACTATTCTACAGAGTGACTACTCATAGCTACTACTACTACTGCTGTTGTGTATCACATAGTGACTAGTACTGACTTCTACACAGTGACTATTCTACAGAGTGACTACTCATAGCTACTACTACTGCTGTGACTGAGTGTTGTGTCACATAGTGACTAGTACTGACTTCTACACAGTGACTATTCTACAGAGTGACTACTCATAGCTACTACTACTGCTGTTGTGTTTCACATAGTGACTAGTACTGACTTCTACACAGTGACTATTCTACACAGTGACTACTCATAGCTACTACTACTACTGCTGTTGTGTTTCACATAGTGACTAGTACTGACTTCTACACAGTGACTATTCTACAGAGTGACTACTCTACAAAGTGACTAGTCTACATAGTGACTATTCTACAGAGTGACTACTCATAGCTACTACTACTACTGCTGTGACTAAGTGTTGTGTCACATAGTGACTAGTACTGACTTCTACACATTGACTATTCTACAGAGTGACTACTCATAGCTACTACTACTACTGCTGTTGTATGTCACATAGTGACTAGTACTGACTTCTATACAGTGACTATTCTACAGAGTAACTACTCATAGCTACTACTACTATTGCTGTGTTTCACATAGTGACTAGTACTGACTTCTACACAGTGACTACTCTACAGAGTGACTACTCAAAGCTACTACTACTACTGCTGCTGTGACTGAGTTGTGTCACAGAGTGACTAGTACTGACTTCTACACAGTGACTATTCTACAGAGTGACTACTCATAGCTACTAATACTACTGCTTCTGTGTCACATAGTGACTAGTACTGACTTCTACACAGTGACTATTCTACAGAGTGACTACTCATAGCTACTACTTCTGCTGTGACTGAGTTGTGTCACATAGTGACTAGTACTGACTTTTACACAGTGACTATTCTACAGAGTGACTACTCATAGCTACTACTACTACTACTGCTGTGACTGAGTTGTGTCACATAGTGACTAGTACTGACTTCTAAACAGTGACTATTCTACAGAGTGACTACTCATAGCTACTACTACTGCTGTGACTAAGTGTTTTGTCACATAGTGACTAGTACTGACTTCTACAGAGTGACTATTCTACAGAGTGACTACTCATAGCTACTACTACTACTGCGGCTGTTGTGTTTCACATAGTGACTAGTAGTGACTTCTACACAGTGACTATTCTACAGAGTGACTACTCATAGCTACTACTACTACTGCTGTTGTGTATCACATAGTGACTAGTACTGACTTCTAAACAGTGACTATTCTACAGAGTGACTACTCATAGCTACTACTACTGCTGTGACTGAGTGTTGTGTCACATAGTGACTAGTACTGACTTCTACACAGTGACTATTCTACAGAGTGACTACTCATAGCTACTACTACTGCTGTTGTGTTTCACATAGTGACTAGTACTGACTTCTACACAGTGACTATTCTACTGAGTGACTACTCATAGCTACTACTACTACTGTTGTGTTTCACATAGTGACTAGTACTGACTTCTACACAGTGTCTATTCCACAGAGTGACTACTCTACAAAGTGACTAGTCTACAGAGTGACTAGTCTACAGAGTGACTATTCTACAGAGTGACTACTCATAGCTACCAATACTACTGCTGTGACTGAGTGTTGTGTCACATAGTGACTAGTACTGACTTCTACACAGTGACTATTCTACAGAGTGACTACTCATAGCTACTACTACTACTGCTGTTGTGTGTCACATAGTGACTAGTAGTGACTTCTACACAGTGACTATTCTACAGAGTGACTACTCATAGCTACTACTACTACCACTGCTGCTGTGACTGAGTGTTGTGTCACATAGTGACTAGTACTGACTTGTACACAGTGACTATTCTACAGAGTGACTACTCATAGCTACTACTAGTACTACTGCTGTGACTAAGTGCTGTGTCACATAGTGACTAGTACTGACTTCTACACAGTGACCATTCTACAGAGTGACTACTCATAGCTACTACTACTACTGCTGGTGTGTTTTACATAGTGACTAGTACTGACTTCTACACAGTGACTATTCTACAGAGTGACTACTCATAGCTACTACTACTGCTGCTGCTGTGACTAAGTGTTGTGTCACATAGTGACTAGTACTGACTTCTACACAGTGACTATTCTACAGAGTGACTACTCATAGCTACTACTACCACTGCTGTTGTGTGTCACGTAGTGACTAGTAGTGACTTGTACACAGTGACTATTCTACAGAGTGACTACTCATAGCTACTACTACTACTGCTGTTGTGTGTCACATAGTGACTAGTACTGACTTCTACACAGTGACTATTCTACAGAGTGACTACTCATAGCTACTACTATTACTACTGCTGTGACTAAGTGTTGTGTCACATAGTGACTAGTACTGACTTCTACACAGTGACTATTCTACAGAGTGACTACTCATAGCTATTACTACTACTGCTACTGTGTGTTACATAGTGACTAGTACTGACTTCTACACAGTGACTATTCTACAGAGTGACTACTCATAGCTCCTACTACTACTGCTGCTGTGACTGAGTGTTGTGTCACATAGTGACTAGTACTGACTTCTATAGAGTGACTACTCTACAGAGTGACTACTC